CCATAAGATGCACCGGACCATAGGACAAGGGAGGTCCGGCACGCCGTATGGAGCACTCGACAGACTGTAGCTTCCGTCACAGCTTCTATGACAGAAGCTGTGACAGAAGCTGCAGTTAGTGACCGCTGGGGCAGGTGGCGCTGTGATTACAGCGCCACGGTCTCAGTGATCACAGAGCAGGCGAAGAAAGTCCGTTCTTCGTCTGCTCTATGGTGATCTTGATCGTCGCCGCTGCTCGGTTTTAATACGAGTGATCTCATTAGATCACTCGTATTAAACGAGCAGTGGCTCCTACTACTCGCCCGGAGCCCGAAACTGCATGTCTCGGGCATCGGGATTCGCTCCATAAGACGCAGGCACATTTTCCGCCTCCTTTTGGGGGGAGAAAAGTGCGTCTTATGGAGCGAAAAATACGGTATGTGCCTTTTTATATTAAGAGAACCAATTTTATTATATTTTTACTAGGAATGCACCGATGCCAGTATCGATAACGAGTATTGCTCCGATACGAGGGAGATTTCCTCTGACCGGCAGTGCTGGGAGGGAACATGGAGTTGGCTTCCCGGCCAACCAGAAACGAGTAATTGCACGTGGCTCGGCTTCCTAATTGGTCGGGAAGCCAGCTCCATGCTGTTTTTGGCCGGCTCCATGCTGTTTGACCGGGAATCCAGCTTCCCAGCCACTCCTCATGGAGTCGGCTTGCTGGGCAGCGTGGAATGACGCGCTGCCCGGCTTCCTGTTTGCCCGGGAAGCTAGCTCCATGCTACCGGTATTGACGAGTACCAAAATATAAATATTGGTGCTCGATCTGGAAAAAACAATGCTTATCCAGTGGTATCATGCTTCTAGGTAAATTTGATTCCTAGTCAGTGTTCTAAATGACACAAGAAAGTGGGATTGTGACACATAATCTAGACTTGCTTTAGAGTTCATGAACATGAATATAAGTAAAGATAGTAGTCACCAGCACTCACTTGTAATGTGCGAAAAGCATAGCACTTTTATAGATGTCACATGCGTCAAGAAGCCAACGTTTCGGGGCCACGCAGGGTCCCTTCATCAGGGCAACATTGTTATTCTCTAACGCTATTCGCACATGAATATTGACACATTGGCATACAGTAAAAAATACGCCTGTATTTTAAAAAATTTTTTGGGTACAGTAAAAAGTGTATTCGCCATGGCCACAGAGATGGGCAAATCCACGAAAGTGCCAAATCGCTGCTCTTCATTAATGTTGTGGTAACTAATACTAACTTAACTTTAGGCCAGCATTACAAGTCGCTTACACTGGTGTGTGTGTGCAATTATTCGCTGCAACCAGTTCCCAAGAACGTATGAGTTGTATGTTACTGTGCACAAGCCATCGATTTATTCTGAACATGAATATTTCTTTGTGTGCTAACTTTGTGCTACAAGAACCAAATGACCCCCACGAAGCTTTAGATACCTTCCCCACATGGCTATCGGCTCCTGTTATTGCAACATACATTATTTAATTTATGACTACCTTATCTTATCTCGTTGAACTTTGTAATGTCAGCTACAGACCTTCACAGATGAAGGTTTGGCTCGAATTTGTAACCAATCTGTTATATATGTAATACACAGTGGCGGGTAGCTTGCTATGGATTATTATATGTTTTCTATGTAACATGTTTGTGGTTTTACATGCATGGTATACAGTGGCTCAAACACTGAACAAAGTACTATTCACTGTAGTTACAGGCTTGTGTTAAAATGACAATGTACTTTCTGCATTGCTTTATGCTAGGGATGTCCCAATGCCACGTTTTCAAGACCAAGTACTTTCCCTCAAGTACTCGCCGATACCAATTACCAATACTTTTTCTTAAAGGTACATGTGACATTTTTCTAAAATACAGACTGATGATTTTAGGGCAGTTTCTCCCCAGAGCTAAATACAAATGTCCCCAGGCTGTGATCTCACCCAGGCAGCATGTGGATCTCTGCAGGGCTCTGCGCCAGTGGCTATGTTGTGTAGAGTTGATTCGGCGGGTGCCATGTGTGGGGCTGCAGAAGATATAGAACTGGACAGGCACTGCCAGCGATGGCTTCTGGCATGTCCCCAGCAGGCTGCTAAGGTCCCCACAAGCGCAGGAACTCAGCAGCCGATGTGGTTTAAAAATTTAAAGGGCTGGTAATGGCATTGTACTTGTGAAAATGCCTGGTATCAGCACCAATACTTGTATCGGTACATCCCTACTTTAGATTTAAAAAGATATCTGATGTGCCAGAAATGCACTCAGCTCCTAAGTCTTATTGTGGGCTGACAACACACATGGTTTTTGTGGACTGAGTGGTGTTGGCCCTACCCATCACCACTACATAAAAGATCATCATGATGTAATCCTAAGATATGGACTGGGAGGGATTATTACTCTTCTTGAGGTAACAATGGTAGTGAACACAGAGCAGCGCTGAATTTCTGACCTCAACAGATTGGCACTTGTTAGATATAATAATAATAATAATAATAATAATAATAATAATACACTTTAATTGTTATGGTTAGCAGACTAAAAGGGAGCAAATAAGTTCTGTGATTGGGTTTACATATGCAAACCGCACCGTCATTTGTCCCTCTTCCTTTGTCCATTCACGGAACGCTTTGTATCCTGTGAACCCATTCATAGAATACAAGATGTTCTGTGAATGAACAAGGGAAGAGAGGGACATATAATACGACTTGTCTGTAGAAAAGCCGCAGCCCTCTTGTCACAGTGCCGGAAGTATAGCTATGGCTATCCTTCCTGGCATGAATATAAGTTTAAAAGTTAATTTGTTAACTCTTTGGAGGACATATAAAAGTGCTGGGTTAGCAGTTATTTGTCTCAGTACCTGGGTGACGGTAATCAGCAGCTCCCGTGATTCCCAGCGACTCGTGTAGGTTGGAACGATCGTGTCTCTGTGACACAGATCAGGAAATCACCAGCACTCAGTAGTAAAGATAAATAAATATGTCCCTTTTATCTTTATTACTGAGTGCTGGTGATTTCCTGATCTTCCTGTGTTTGCACGGCGCCATCCGTGGTAATTCATCACTGCGAGCACCACCTTTTCTCATCTGGCCGGGACTGCTGTGAGGAGTGCGGAGGGACTCTCCGTCGACTTATCTCTGTGACAGACGGCACTAAGCGCTAAGCTCGGGAGATGAAATGTTCAATTTCTGGGCATCAAATGCTGTCGCAGAGCTCTCCTATGGAGTACATTGTGAATGCAAGGTAAACGATATGCTTCCACATTCTGTTTACATTGGGTGTATAGTGATGTCATCTATGATGTCATTGCACTCCCATTATTTAAGGAGGCTCAGGCAGAGCTGGTCTAGCTCTCCCCAGCTAAAGTTAGTATTGTTATTATTGGTATTCTTTCTTGTTGTGTTTTTTTGTTTTTTTTTTATCACTGGTATATCAGCGTTTACAGAGCACTAATTGGTGAGCCTTTAGAATTTGCAAGCAATGTGTTCCCAAATCTGTGCATGATGGACTGGAAGCTGGATGAGGAAGGCAGAAGCAAGTGACTTCATTATGTTTGCGTTTCATGATACAGTTGGTCAGTTTTGAAAGCCGAGAGAACAAATGTCCAACACACCTGACCACACGTTACATTCTGGTTGTATGATCTCCTTTTAGATCTACCAACAACTATAGACTGCAAGGGCTGCTTGGTTGGATAGAAGCGTCATTGCTTTTATTTTCATTTCTTGTTGTGTTTCTGTACAATGTTACACCACAGTAAATGACAAGATCTGTAACTCTGATGTGCAGGCCATTTGTTCTCTTGGATGTTTATGGTAGTCCGTGCACCCTCCTATAGACATTAAAGCTGGCCATACACTTTACAACCCTCGAAAGGCTTTTGCCTTGCGAGGGTTGTAAAATAATTTAAAAAACGTATGATCTGCCTTCTTGGACAGGCAGATCGTACTTGCGATCATCGCAAGCCCGTCCTGCTGAGGGGCGGGCTTCCGATGACTGCAATGCTGAGTGGGCAGTGTGCGCACAACGGCCCGTTCGGCAGTTGTCGAACAATCATGCCACTAACGGTGCCCACACACCTTAAGATAATCGCGGGAAATCCCGCGATCGTACGATTATCGTAAGGTGTGTGGGAGCCATGCGACCTCTGCTACTGTAAGGCCGCACGACTTTTATCTTAGGAACATGTTCGGAAACCCGCCGAGAATCGTAAGATTTTTGGCGGGTGTGTAGCATGTTCGTAAGATAAAAGCCGGACGGGCCGGTGTGCGCAAGCGCACACTGCCCGTTCAGCATTGCGGTCATCGGAAGCCCGCCCCTCAGCAGGCCAGGCTTGCGATCATCGCAAGTACGATCTGCCTGTCCAAGATAGGCAGATCGTACGTTTTTTTTAATTACCTTACAACCATCGCAAGACAAATGTTGTAAGGTGTGTGCCCAGCATAACCCAGCCTGCTTGTTCGACGTACAGTAGAAACGGTCGCACGCCTTCCATACACTTTTTGCGGTTATCATACGATCTTGAGATTTCCCACGATTATCGTACGATAATTGTACAGTGTATGGGCACCTTTTACGGTAAAGGTGCTAGATGGATTTGTAAGCCAGGGACGTATCCAGCAACCTTTTTGTTTTTTTAATTTTATTTTTTCCCCCTGACTATCCCTAGGGATCAGGAAGAGTTGGCAGCTGTACATTTTACCTGTTTTAATATCGGTGTATTATTGATATTACATTTATTTGCTAAAAATGTTTTTTTTTTCCCCCCAGGTATTTTAGAGAAGACACTTTTCCCCAAACCAAGCTTGATCCTAGTCACAGCCTTCTACTATACAATAACAAAAGTTCTACTTTACAAGTAAATGTGTTCCCCAGTTGTCAAATAATTCATGAATAATAGAAGGAACAGAGGAACAGCACCTTTATGTGGATTTTAAAGCCTGTATTAACGTTGTGAGGACTTCTGAAGTCACTTCTTTTACTATCTTTTGGAGGTAGTCTGGATTGTAACATGCAGCCATTCTTTATGAAGGTAAGCACTTTTTTTTTACTGTTTGGAAAATGTGTCGTTATTTGGGCAAGTTAACTTTTCCCAAGTAATTTGGGAAAATTGAATTATCCGCTGAAATCTGGCCCCCTCTTGCCTTATGGCAAATGGGGGTGGGGGTGGGGGGGGTTTAATTCTATTTTACAAAATTACCCGGGAAAGTAAATTTACCCTTTAAAATATATGCTACGGATAGATGTTGGCTGTTTCTTTTTCATGTCTGGTACTTCAATGGCAAGATCTCAACATTCACCACAACCATTTCAAGGGGGGGGGGGGGAGATTGTCCCTT